GCTGAACCGGAAGGCTGTATCTAATCTGTGTGGGTAGGAACAGGATCATTTTAAACATTTGTAGATCTGTGTTCCCCCACTGTCAGACTCTTGGACAAAGTTACCCTCAGCAACACTCTCTGGCAGTGATTTGTTTATTGATGAATAAAGGCCCCGGCCACACGTGCCGGAAAACGCGGGCGCGGGGGGGGGGGGGTTATTTGTGCCGTTGCATTCTGATCCACCATTATGCGATCAGACACGACGGCGGCACACTGGGGTTTCGTCCTTTGGCGTGCGCTGCAAAGTGGACGGCCGGAGGGAATAGTGCGTGCCGGCGTGATCACACCAAACGAGTCTCTCTGCAGCCCATGGCAAACCATTTGCTAGTAGATCTTTGCAGGTACTTTTTAACTGCACATCTTCATCGGCACGCCACGGGTTGGCCATGGGTGTGCTACACTTGCCAGATGTTGCAGTGTGATGGCGCCCCCAAAATCCACCCAGCATTCGTGCCTTTTATGCGGCAAATTCTCTGTGTGACCGGGGCCAACGATGTTCTAAGCTGAGACCAGTAATGTGTCAGAACTGAGGTTCAGGCAGGAAAATCCCCAATTATAGACAGTTCAAACCAGGCGCCCCTTTGGGTCCCATCCAATCATACCCCACAATCGTCCCACCTAGCTTTTGCGCACTCTACACCCCCCACCTGTGAATATACTGTTATTTTCTCGAAGACAGTGAAGCAAGCACAGTCATCTCCAAGGTCATTCCTGCATAGGGAGGTATCTTAAGAAGAATTACATCGCCACTACAACAGAGCCGTTCACACACTCGCTCACTCACACCTCTCCCTCAGGAATTTCCCTATCTCTGCAGGCCCCAAGTCCCCAAAGCATGGAAACGAGCATCCGAGTTTGACACTCACTTGGATAACCCGGGCTAGCCTGATCTTGTCTTATCTTGGAAGATGTTATTTATTTATTTATTTATTATTGAGATTTATATCCCGCCCCATCGAATATTCAGCTCGGGGCGGCTTACAAGATTAAAATAGAAATACAAACAACAACAATTTAAAACAGTATATCCAATATAAAATATGGTGCTGAAATAATTTACATAAAATCCAAGATGGACGACATCCCACACTGGCAGGCCAAGTTCTTCACAGTAGGAGCACCAGGGAGAGTGTTCCCCCAGTCCTGTTGAGCGACATCCACCCCTACATGGGGTGGTCGTTGGAATATCATTGATGGAACAGTGGCGGCGGCGGCTCCCCCTCAAAGGCCTGGCGGAAGAGCTCCGTCTTGCAGGCCCTGCGGAACTGCACTAGGTCCCGCAGGGCCCGAGTTTCTTCCGGGAGCTCATTCCACCAGGTGGGAGCCGCCACCGAAAACGCCCTAGTCCTGGTTTGGGTCAACTTTGCTTCCCGGGGGCCTGGAACCTCCAGACGATGGAAGTTCCCCGATCTCAGTGCTCTCGGGGGAATATACGGGGAGAGGCGGTCCCTTAGGTAGGCCCTGGTCAGTGTTTGGATTGGAGACCAACAAGATTGGAGACCAACACTTTAAACATCCCTTGCCTTGAAAACCCCATGAGAAGTTGCCAGGAATCAACTGTGACTTGATGGCACTTTACACACACACACACACACACCTGGCTTTGGAAAGGCTTTTTGGAAGTGATGTTCAGGGTTGGTCTTGGTGATTCTGGGTCCCCATGATCATTGCCCTCCACTCTGGCTGAGTCACCCAAAGCTCAATAAATGAGTAGCCCTCACCCCATGCAAGTCTGGCTGCTGCCCTTGCCTCGGAGAGAGTGGGTTGGCGGGCATGTGTGGCAACCGCCAAGTAGGGATGCCAGTCTCCAGGTGGGACCTCGGGATCCCCTGGAATTAGCTGTTCATCTCTAGACTACAGAGATCAATTCCGCTGGAGAAAAGGGATGCTTTGGAGGGTGGACTCTAGGGCGTTGTGGCCCACTGAGGTCCCTGTCCTCCCCAGGTTCCATCCCCAAATATCCAGGAGTTCCCCAACCTGGATCTGGCATCCTTAACCGCCATACTCTGCCAACCTGGATCTGACAACCCTGCCGCCAAGCCTGGGGCAATGGGTGAGGGCCTAGAATCCATACGTTTAAAGGAACTCAGGTAAGTAGGGCTGGGGAAAGGCCTGGAAGGATTTTTGGTGAGAACATTTTGCTTTTTTCTCTCTCGGTATGGTCGTATGAGGAAGAAGCAGTGCTATCTTGTGTAACTTTTGTATCTGTGGAGTTTTAAAACAAATGCCATAGCATGCAACTTCCTGTTCTTTCCATGTAAAGTGCTGATCCTCCCCTTCGGTGCACAATGCTGGCCATGAATAATTCCTTATATGTTAAGTTGATACGGCTAAGTACTTACAGCTAAGCGCATCTGGGACCTCAATGTGTCTCAGTGAAATCAGTGCAGTTTCTTGCTGGTAAATAGGCTGAGGATCCTGTTAGGGGTTCATTAAAGCCCACTTGAAACCGACAGCTGAAATCACTTTTAGAATCTGCCGCCAAGCCAGATTCCTAGTGCAGAAGTATAGTTGCTTTCATTTGAACCCGGGTCATCACAGGGGTGACTGAAAAATTGATGGGAGGACAAGATGGGAGGGCTACAAAACCCCTAAACCTAATCCTGATTCTTAAATTGTTGATTCAGTTTCATATTTGAATCAGGCTGACGTGTCTTTCGCAGGTTGTATTCTTGATGTGTGGTGACTTTACCAATAGAGGGGGCTTTGGTCTTGTTCTCTTTTGCTCTGGGGTGCCACTAGGGTTGCCAGCTATCACCTTACCTGCGGCGGGAGGCTCCCGGCTCCTTGTTGGGACTTTTCTGCTGTGTGCGTGAAGCATGCGTTGTGATGATGTCACTGGTAGTGATGTCATCACACTAGGGCCATTGCACAGTGGCGCTGTAGCGTTCGGAGCAATAACTCTATGGTAACCATAGAGTCCCCCCCCAAAAAATGCTAGAGTGCCACCACACAATGACCCCGGTGTGATGACATCACTACCAGTGACATCATTGCATCAGCAGGATGCTGCTGTTTGGGGGTGGGGCTTCCAGCTGACTGGTGGTGGATTGGGGCCCCTGCACCCACCAGGGGGATGGCAACCCTAGGTGCCACTTACGTTTGCCAGAGTTCTCTTGGAATTACAACTGATCCCCAGACTACTGAGATCAGCTCCCCTGGGAGAAATAGCTGCTTTGGAGGGTGAACTGTATGTCATTATGTCCTGCTGAGGTCCCTCCCCTTCCCAGGCTTTGCCCCAAATCTCTAGGAATTTCCCAACTGGGAGCTGGTAACCCTAGCACCACAAGTGCAGCTGGCTAGAGCGTGGAGGTGCAGTTTCTAGTTCTGCAGTTGCACAGGTGATAAACGTGGGCCCATAAAATCTCACCCAGCCGTAGAGAGGCTCAGACTGTAGGCTGACTCCACCTGTTTGAGCAGGTTGGTGTTCTAGGGTAGGCCAAGCTCTACCCCCAGACTGGTTGTGCCTATTTCAGGGGTTGCTTCGTATTCCAACAGTGTCTTGTAATGACTTCCTGTCCTCTGCTATCTTGCCCCCTTACCTTTACTCTGATTTTATTAGAGAATACATCTCTCTAGTTCCTAATCCGGGGAAAAGATTTCCTCCCCGATCAGATTTCAACATCTAAACAATATGATGGCTATCATGGGTTATTTGTCATAACTGATGAGGCAGTTTTATTCCTTTTCCGTTTTCTTTTCTTTCTTTTTTAAAAAAAATCTGATTGTGTGTTCAGGGAAGGCATCTGATTCAATTTTAGTCCGGGCTGCCAAGAGAGGAAACAGAAAACATGATTCCAGTCTGGCCCTAACTTATTTTGGGAGGATGGCTGTTTTTTAAGGAAAACTAATAATTTTTGGCTGATCCTGGATGATATGCTTGATTATTTCCCCCCCCCCTTTATTTTATTGCAGACTGCTACGAGAACAGTGGATCCGAGCAAAATATGAAAGGAAAGAATTCATTTACATTGAGAAGCAGGAGCCGTACTCTGCAGGTAGATTAATTATGATTAATTTTTCTGTGTATGAAAGTTTTGTGTTCATTTTGTCCAGACTACAGTTATCACTTTCCCTGGAAGAACTGGCAGCTTTGGAGAGCGAATGTTATGACATTATACCCCACTGAGGCTCCTCCCGAGCCTCCACCTGGAATCTCCAGGAATATCCCAACCAGCAGTTGGCAACCCTGTCTGAGACCATGGGTAGCCCTGTACCCAAATCCAGGCTTGATCTGCCAACTCAGGGCCCCTGGCATCCGTTGCCTGCCCTCCTATATTTCACCGAGGGAAATGGGCATGCTTGTAACTCCCCAGTTCTCCTGCTACGGATCTCTTCTTGCAGTTGCTCACACAGCCGCTGTTGTACATCGCTGTATGTTGTGGGGCTGTATTGCTTTACTATGCAATAGTTTATTTTTTAATTTATTTAATTTATTTAAATTTATTTAATTCATTTAAAAGCCCTGCTGTGGATCAGTGGTAGATCATCTGCTTTGGGTGCGAAAGTTCCCAGGGTCAATCCCTGGCATCTCCGGTTAAAAGGATCAGTAGCTGATGTGAATAACCTCTGCCTGAGATCCTGGAGAGCTGCTACCAATCAACCTTTGACAGACCAATCATCTGACTTAGTTGAAGACAGATTCATTTAGTGAGGGTTTTTGGCTCTGTGGTAAGCAGCTGCTTGGCATGCAGAAGGTCCTGTCAGGTTCCACAGCCAACAACGGAGTACACGCTTATCAGAAAGGTTATACTTTATTGAAGAGCTATAGATGCATTAACAGAAGCACTGCTAAGAATGGTGTCGCCCCTACAAGCAGAATGGGATATAGGGTATTCGTATGCACACACCCCTTCCTTCGGCCAATTAGCCACATTCCCGCGCGCGGGAGAAGGAGCCCCAGGCCGTTTGAGCAAAAGCTGGGAACCGACAGCACTCCCACGGTTCCCTCACTCCTAGACACCACACCACCTGCATGGCTGTAGATAAGCAAGTGTTACAGCAGAGAAGAAGCACAGAAAGAATGCCGCAGTACTTTGTACACAGGTCATCTGACCCCTCTTACTGCCATGGCAGCATAGCTGACATTCTGCCCTCTCAAAAATCAATTCTCCCGTCCACCCCTGGAGGTCTCCCAGTTATTCTGGGAGTTCTCCCAGTTTGTCCAGGAAGTCGCTATGAAACTTCCGTAATAACTGAGGGGCCCGAATATCCCCTACTTCCACCCACTCGAGGTGCTGGGGTCCGAAATCTAGCCATTCAACCAAATACAACAATTTTCCACGCTTAATCTTAGAGTCCAAAATTTTAGAAATCTCGTAATGTTCCTCGCCCTTAATCAAGATAGGAGGGGGCGCCGGTCTTGATGGATGCCAAGGACTGGAAACCAGAATCCCGTTTCAGGAGGCTGAAATGAAATACGGAATGTAGTTTCCTCAAGTTCTTAGGTTGATCTAAGTCCACAGCCACCTCATTGATCACTCTTTTCACTTTGAAAGGACCAAGGTATTTCCAACCGAGTTTTCGGCTAGGGTGCAAAACCTAAATATTTTTTTGTAGACACATAGACAGAGTCCCCAGGCTGCAGAGTCCATCCCTCCACCCTTCTCTTGTCAGCCTGACCCTTGTACGCCTCCTTGGCTGCATTCAAAGTCTTGCAAAGGAGAGGCCA